TGGGAATTTAGGGGGTTGGCAATGGTCTGGTGGTTCCAACTTTTCAGGCAAACAGAGCTATGTCAATTGTATCTCATTGGTGTATTGAGCTTGGAGATTTGGGGGAAGAGGCACTTAGCAAAGGGGCCTTTTGAGAAAAAAGGAAATTTAGTACTAGACCCTATTCTTCTAAGAAGTTCAAAGTTATTACGGTCTATCTTATGCACTGAGGTGTCACTTCCTAGTGTCATCAATCAAGAAGCTACATCAGCCCTACTACCTATTTTCTCTCCCAACCAGGAATACTTGTTCTTACTGAGAAGGAGTTTGAACTGTGATACAGCTGCACAGAGGAGCTTCATTTAAGAAAGGAGAGGACTGGGTCCTGGTACGGCATGTTTTTTCTGCTAGATTTCTTCTGATCCCTCCTTCTCTATGGAGATGCCCAAAGTAATGAAGATGCTTTTGAGACCTTGTCTACTGGGGCATGCTTCAGGTATAGGTGAGTGTAACACTGGGGAGAGAGGCTTCCTTTTTCTTTCTCCTACACTCTATCCGATCGCTTAGGCGTAGATCACTTATAAACTCCTTGAAGTGGACAGGAGTCTGCACCAGACTACCAAGCAATCTGTTCTCGCGTGCACCAACTGATAAATAATGCAGCAGCAACCACTGCAGAAAGTGGGCCAGTGGTCTTACCAGATTTTCCAATATTTTCCCCCACTAGGCAACAATAACCAGGTGTAATCTCTTGGATTGCTTAAAGCTCTGAGGATTTGGGACTTATCATAGGAAAAGAGGACCTAAAAGGGGAGAAAGACTATTTTCTAGTAACCCAAAGAGGAGTTTGGGGTCAGAATATTTTAAATATTAAAAGAAATATACCACGGGGTGATGAAGGCTATGTCCAATAGATAATAATAGATGAAAAGAGAGAGAAATATGGATACTGATAAAGAGATAAAAAATAAATAGTATATACGCATATACGTAATACATTAATATATTATAATAAGATAATATATATATATATATCTGTGTCTACATGTACAGCTGTAACCTTACCCCATGCTACTAACAGTGATTATCTCCAAGGCTAATTTTTAATCTACATAGTTACATTTTTCAATAATGAAAAAATATTGATTAATAAGAAATACATACCAATTATTTCTAATTTTGAAAAGAATTCTCTCGTCCCAGAAGAATTTTCTTTCTGAGAATGTTAACCCTTCGTCGGTAATATGTTTGGGCAAGTGAGCATGAATGTATAGAAGGCTAGTCAACTCAGCTATATGCCACTGGTCTTTTGCAGGGCAAGTGACTATTTTTAGTGATGGCCTGCGAATTTCTGTTCTTTTATGTGCATTATTGCTGATGTAGTTCATCTATGAATTAACAAATAATTAAGTGTTACACTTTCCTTACTACCTTAACCCTTTCTTGTTTCGGTCAACACATGTGGTTAATTCAACTTGTCAAGTTTGGATTTTTCTTTTGTTGATATGTGAGGCCACCAAACAGTTTCCCACTGTGGGGTCCTTATGGGGGAAAAAGAAGAAAAGTCAAAATACAGTGTGCTTTCCTTCAGAATTTCTTTCATTTAGATACAGGCTGCAAAAGGTCAGGGGAAAAAAAAGGGATTTCTCCAAGACATTCTATTTAGTAGACTTCATTTAGGGACATAAAATGTAGGAAGAATTAATACTTCCCTTTCCATAATAAAAATGCATATTCCTTCTACAAATTGCAAGAGATTAATTTCTCTGGTAATCCCATATAATCTCATTTCTCAGAGCTGAAGTTTTTTTTGTTGCTCAAAAGAAATATTTGAGGTGACTGTCTTGCTTTGTGTATGGGGTAGTGGGGGCAGCAAGGGGTAGTGGTTACCTCATGCAATTCTCTACAGCATGGAGCACAAGAAAAGGGCAGTGGAGAATAAGAGAAAAAGCCTCATCCATCTGCCTCTTCCCCTTTTCTCCATGGGTGCAAATAAGCCACCTGCCCAGAGTTCTTGGACTGCTGTGGTTGGGGTGTGCAAGCAATGAGGTTTGGAGGGAAGGGTTAAGGACTCTGCAAGACCATCTCTGAAATATTGCTTGGTAGCTTAGGATCCATATTTAAACTACTAAATACTGCTGTTGGGATTACTCAGATCAGCTGTTAGAGCCAAATTTCAAGATTAGGGACTCATTTGTGCCTCAGTGTCCTCATTTGCAAAATGAGAATAATTGAGTCATTGTGGGAATAAAATGGGATAATTCATAAAAATATGTGTAATAGTATACAGCATATAATGCTCACCTAATAGGAGCTATTGCTGTTATTATTAAGAGGCTCCTGGGCATTGTGTAGGTGAGGTACATAAAGGAAGGCCCATAGAAAAAGGAAGGAGATTAGGTAATACCTGGAAATATGGCCAAATGAGAAGACCAGTTTCATTTGCTGTCTGAAAAAACTTACCTGAAATGTACATTTGTAAAGAGAAAAGAGGACATTTATGCCTTTGTACATTTCTGCAGTCCGAGTTCGCATGTTCATGCACCACCTTTTTGACTGACATTTCTTCTTAGTCCCCAAAAAGTCCAAGTCTCAAAGAACCACTCAGGGCTCAATACTGGCCTCCTATAGAAGTGGAATCCAGGCTTAACATCCCAAGAACTAATGAAACCATTCTCTTTACTAAGGGGGCTCCCAGGGAAGGGGGGGTTGTATTGTAATTAGTATAATAAATATTACTGTGGTAAAGGAATTGACATGAGCAGAATGATAATGGCTGAGTAGGTGTTCATCATTTGAATGAAGGATCCTAGGGGTGGGAATGATTGAAGGGGTGTTCAGGAAGACAGAGTTGTGTGAACAAAAGCAGAGGGGCATGAAAGAACATTAGGCCTTAAAAAAGCAGTAAGTCCTTTTGTGATGCTTGAACATAGAGTATAAGAGAGAGATGGCAGAGACAGAAAAAACCAGGAGAGCTGGGGAGGATCAGATCTCTTACAGTCTTGCTGATAGCAATCTGGACTTTCCTTTCATAATTACTGAGAAATTATGGTTGAAGACTCAAGAGAGAGAGACTTAGAAGAGTCCATGAAGAAGCCAGATAAGGAATGATGGGGACTGAAACAATAAAGTATCAGTAGGGATTGTAAGGAGGATACACATACAACAAAAGGTAAGAATCTATAAATTAAAAAAAAAATAAGTATAGGGTTGCTGGGTGGCTCAGTCGGTGAAGCATCCCACTCAATTTCAGTTCAGGTCATGATCTCAGGGTCGTGAGACTGAGCCCTGCATCGGGCTCCGTGCTCAGTGTGGAGTCTGCTTGGGATTCTCTCCCTCTCCCTCTGCCCCTCCTCCCCACTCTCTCAAATAAATAAGTCTTTTTAAAAAAAAAAAAAAGTAAGTACACATGATCTTCCGATTAAAGATTTTATTTATATGCAATGTTTTACAAAATTATTTAAAATGTCAAGTTAGAGTCGGTTACATATTTAGCTATTTATTTTGTCGATAATAATAGATTACATGAAATTAGGCATTTCCCAGAAAGTGGGGTGAGAGAATTCTTTAATCTATAGCCCTGGAACCTGGCAGACACACAAAGTCTTTGAAACTTTTATTTCTACCTCAGAGGTCAGCATTGGTCTAGGAAGGTCCTAGATAACCTGGTATAATGTGGGGCTGGTGCAGAATAAAATGTCTAACTTCTAAAATTAGGACTCATACTCTAAGTAAACTCTAGGTAACTCAGTCAGTTTTAGGTACTTCTCCGACAGGAGTTCCAATAGTGTGGAAAAGGAGATCCATGGACCAGCGATTGATTTAAGAGAGTGCCACAGAATCCTATAAAATCTGGAAAAAACAGAAGCCCTAGGTATAGGTTCAGACTACCCCATGGTCTCTACCTTCAAAGATACATGGCACTGCCCTGACAGGTAGGGTTTTGTGTGACACCAAAATTGTCATTTGCTGGATCTCTTTGTCTCCCTGGGTATCAAAACTCCACATTCTGGCATAACTTTTTCCCATGCCTGTTAAAGGTTTATTACAAACTAAAGAGTTAAAGAAGCCCTCCAGATATTTTGGGAAGCAACCCAGAACCAAAGCATCAATAACAAAAGTCAAGTCAACTTCCTATATATCAAAGCACCAAAAGGTCAAGGATGTAAAAAGTGACCTTTACATCTTATAACACGACACAGTGTTTAGTTATTGTTTTCAAAAAATTGTCAGAGAACATAGAAATCTTCAAACAATAGTTAAAACGGATAGAAAGTTCTAAAGAGCATATATTCAGAGTTTAGTGAACACTCAAATATTTGTTAATCTCAAATCTATGTTATTATATATTGTACTTGCTCTAACTATAAAAATAAGATAAATGCAGTACAGGTGATCTAATCTACATCCCTAGCCCTACTTGATATGTAGCTATATCTTCAATATCAGCCTGTGCTCAAATAAAATGTAAAAGGTTATTATTTATAATATTTTTAAGTAGAAGGCATATGCCTAGAGCCTGAATAATTCAATACCAATACTGTAGTATACTTCACTTCGAAATGCTCATGTTTCTTAGCATGATGTCTTGTAAATAATGCAATGAGTTAAAAAAAAAAAAACAACTGGCCTTGCTTCGAGAGGAAAGCCTGATGAAAATAGATATAAAAACCAATTAAAAAAACAAACCAATTTCAGCATCTGTCAAGGAGAAATCTGAAACCCCAAATCACCAGTCACAATTTGCTGTCAATTATCATTTGAGATAACCCCTCAGTGACTTCTAGGTTATGGTTCTGTCCTCCCAATGACAGTCTTGTACCCAGAAACTGAAGGAAACCGGGCAATTCCTGAAAGTCACTGGGTAACACTTCGAGTCATATTTGGCTTCCTGTTCTAGAAGAGTGAGAAAAGATTACATTAAGGGAGAAACTTACTCCTTGACTAAAGGCATTAAACGATCCTTCAAGGGGCCCTCGAACCAAGTAGCCGTGTTATGAACATGTATTCCACTCTCGTGTTTAAGACACAAAGGTCTCCATTTCTCTAAGGGAACTGTTTTTTCGGCATGACACACTCTCTCGCTTGCCTTGGAGCCAAGTAATTGGAACCCTAAACACACGGCGGAGCTTCTGTTGGAACCGGTTACCAACAAAACAATACAGAAAGGGATTAATGCAGCTGTTGGTGAATCCCAGAAGGATGGCAAAAGGAAGTGCCAGGTCAATGACTGCTATAACTTCACAGCTATGAATGACACCCATCCAGGCCAGAGCATCCAGGAAGGTCAGAACATGGAAGGGAAGCCAACAGATGATGAACGCCAGAACGACAGCCGCTGCCATCTTGAGGACTTGGTCGCGAGTTATTCTGTTCTTCCCGTAGCTATTGGTCTTCAGTAAGTGCTTTCTGATTCCAAAATAGCATGTGGCTATGAATATTAAAGGGATAATAAAACCAAGGATATTTTTCATTAAGGCAATCCCAGCCGACCATTGGGCATATTTCTCAGGGGGGAAGGCCATAATGCAGGCGTTCACTCCCAAATACTCAATGGTTCGGACATCTCGGAAATAGAATGTTGGCAATGAGGACAGACAAGCCATACACCAAACAAGGGGAACAATATAAGACGCTTGCCAGGGATTTCTTCTCTGAGACAGAAAGGGATAGATAACAGACTGGTACCTATCAACGCTCATGCAGGTGATAAAAAAAATGCTTGCGAACATGTTCAGGGTCAGGAAAGAACCAAACACTTTGCACATCACAGGCCCAAAGAGCCAGTCATATCTGTAAGAATAATAGGTTGCCCAGAGAGGAAGAGTAGCCAAAAGCAGCAAATCAGCCACAGCCAGGTTGAAGATGTAAATGCTGGAAACCTTTTTAGGACCCTTTTGACAACAGAACAGCGTAACCACAATAGTATTGACAAGAAATCCAATCACAAAAATAATATAGTAGAGGATGGGAATTGCATCTAAATGCTTATCTGATGGCTTATGTGAGCAGTTAGAGGTCGACTCGTTGCCAATGATGTTCACAAGTCCGAAGTGAAGGCTGTTGGTGATGTTTTTGCTGATGGTGGCCAGGGTGACGTTCTTCATATTGCAAGCTCAGTAGCTTCTACTTCTTACGCCTTCTGTGGAAATTAAATAAAAAAAAAAAAAAATGGAACTCCCAGAACACATATGGAGTGTAGGACATTATTAAATCATTAGCATTTTGAAAGTTTGTCAAAAGAAAAAAAAAAAAAAAAAGAAAGAAAGAAAGAAAAAAGAAAAGGTGGGTGAATATAGAAAACACTGGAAAGCCCAACCGTGCCTTGTGAAATAAGAGTGGATTTTGTTCCTTGAAGAAGAAAAAGGAATTTCCTCAACAGTACCAAGCAGGTAAGACATTTCAGCCTCAGGGACTGAAAGTGCTGAACAAAACTCTATTTTGCCCATCATTTCTATCATCTTTTCAAAAAGCTTAAAGGAAATCAATAGTTCAAAAGGTTAGCCTGGGTAAGAAATAGGGGAAACAAATAAGAAGGAGTCAAGAAATAAGAAAAATTAACATTTCAAAAACACTTGAGCACATATCTCAGGCTGTATACTTTCTAGAAACCACACCGCTGCCCGCTATTGCATAGAGAAATGCCTTATTCAAGTAACTAATTATGTACAAATCATTACAGCTATGGAAAATATAAGTAACATAAGCTATGGAAAAAATAAGTTAGGGCACAAAAGACTGAAAGAGAATATGCAAAAGGAACATACTGAGATGGGGGATAGGGTTGGTTTTTACTAATTTAACACGAATTCCTTTACTTCTACTTTTCCATTGTTTTTATAATAATAATATCATTAACAGGGAGCTCCGGAGTAGGTACGTATTTCTAAAAGCCCCCTGAACATTTTAATAGAGACTATTAGTTTTCGATCTAGATGTTTAATCTGCTTAAAAGGAAATTCATTTTCTTTTTCAATTAGGAAAAGAACAAGAAAAAAAAATAGCCAAATCTGATTTAGAGTCAAGTAGAAATAGTTTTGGTTGCTCAATGAAATAAGAATTGAACATCAATGATGAATCATGAGCTAATTGTATCATTTTTCCTTTGCTATCATTTCAGTTTAAACACAATAAAATAGGAACAGTGCTACATGGCTCTCAAATGTTATAATCAGTGCTCAGGTTTTTCTGATACTGGGTTTTGTTGTTGTTGTTGTTGTGGTGGTTGTTGTTTTAGGAGCAGCATTACTTTAAAACAAAAGAAAATTAGCTGAAGATAAACACAGTAAAGGAAAGACTATTATTTTTGATAGTTTCAAAATACATCTAACTACTCAATAAGAACCATAATCACCAAAGAATCTCCTAATAAACAGCAAAGTTATCATTTTTGTCTAAAGCTCACTCTCTCCCCATCTTAACCTAACAAAGTAACATGAAAGAATCTCAAATAAACCCACTTGCAGACTTACTGGTCGTTGGAGTTTAAAAGTTAGTTATCATAAATCAGCTTGCCTAGTTCCTACGTGCACCCCTGTAAGAGAAACAGCGGGGAAAGAATTTAGGAGGTTTGCAAAAATACAGTGTTAAAATACAGGAAAAAGGGAAAGTTCATCCATAAAAAAAAAAAACCACTTTCACTTAATGTATGTTCTACTCTCCAGATACAGTATATAGAAATTGTGCAGACCTACCTTAAAAATTCAGGCTGAAGAATGCTTTTAATGCTTTTAAGTCTGTGCTTATTCGTTCCCTTAGACTCAGGGACGTAATAGCACGAGATCTCTGGTTTCCTTCTTATATGTTCGGTCTGTCCACTGGGAGCCTTCAACCTACATAATTCTAGGGCTGACTTACGAACACTTGCCAGCCGTTTTCAGAGAGGTTTTTTTTTTTCTTTTTTTGGCTGCAAAACATTAATCTGAAATTCTCACTGTCTCCAATCATAACAGCTCATTCAAATAAATCTCAAACCAAAAAATGAAGTTTCCACCAATGTGTTGGAGAATTTTGAAATCGGTGGCTTACTTTAAAAGAAGAATATAATTATTTGCAGAATCTTCTCTTTCCTTTTCCCTGATACTGACACTCTAAGGCGAGTTAAGGAGTGGGGAATAGAGAACGTATTCTGGTAGCAGCACCTTTGTCCACCAACGTCTGTTACCACCGTCATTACTTTTTGAGATTTTTTTACCTCTGTTCATTAAAGAACAGTAGTGACTTTACTCAAAGTCTAAACTTTCTCAAACTTCTCCCTTGCTTCAAGCAATTTTTGTTGGCTGGTTGCTGGAGAGGTGGTGATAGGAGGGATATAATTTTCATGGCTTCGGAAAGAGGTATTAGCAAATAGTGTCTCCTTTCATAGGTCCCTGTCCTGTTTGTGGTTTCAACACAAAGCACACAAAGGTGAAGAAGGATCAAGCAACCACCACGGTTCAGATCACTGTAGGTCTTTCTTTTTGGTGGGGGTGGGGGTGACCAAACTTAGAAATCATTCCCACAGCCACAAGAGTGACAAAAGAAAGAAAGATCGGGACAGGTGACAGCAGTGAGACTCACAGCCAACAGCAAACTCGAAGTGCCAAACACTGTGCTGAGTGCTCGGTAATTTCAGAGCGAGCCAATGGAATGTACTGGCCGGTACAGGGCCTCTAGGATACAACTGCCAGGCTCCACAAGCTCAGCTATACCCACTTCCTTATCCTACGACCTTGGCCAAGTTACTTTTCTTCACCGTGTCTCAGTTTTCTCATCTGAGAAATGGGGATGATGTTGATTACCTACAACACAGAGTTCTGAAAATTAAATGAGCTCATACATTTAAGAGTGCCTGAAACCATGCTTCACATATGGTAGATGCAATGACAAAGTCTTGCTATTACCTCCATTTTCCAAATCGGGAAGCTAGGGCTCACAGAGTTTAAATGACTTTCCTGAGGTCACATAGCTATTAAATGGAGGACATCTGAATTTTAACCGAGGCAATCTCATGACAGAGTCCATGCTCTTAACCTCCACGTAAAAGGAGGGAGCCCTCGCTGGCCCTTTCCTCTCTTTCTTTGTCCTGGCAAAAAGAAAACGTTCGGCATTTACAAAAAACCACAGCCGATCATTCACGAGCTGTCACAAAAACACCAAAGGAGGGGAAAAGAGTTTGAAGGATTGTTATGTGGGAGAACAAATTTTTCTTAATTTTATTCCCATTATTGCGGCCAATCCTGTGGCACATGGGACCAGAAAGAAGAGATCACGCTTCCCTGAAAAATATTAGTAGGATTCAGAGGTTTGCACACCACCATCTTGGTGACTTTCGGTTAGACTGAGTTTGCGCATTGAGGAAATGCTCCTAAGATACATACACACCATTGTATTACATTTCAAAATATTTGTTTCCTGTGCTCTGGACAGATTCAGGTGGAGGCTCTGTCCAAATGATGGAGCACTGATGTCTGGGAAACAAATGAGCGGGCACATATGGTTATCGGCAGGAGAGATGAAATGGGAACCGGTTTCACTCTTTGTTTAAGCCTAGTTTCTCCCTCCATTTCTAGTGTTTGTTTTTGCCACATACAGGGGAATTTTCCAGGCCAGAGCCCCCTGAGTGGTCACGATGGGTCAGGTTCCCACCCTGCTCTATTTCTAGCCCCCTCTAGGGCCCGTTGCAAAGAAACAGCCAGGAGGTAAGCCATAAACATTTGAGAACAAACTGCAGGCTCGCCTCTGGGAGACCTAGCCTTGAACACCCCTGAGGAGCAGGGGACCTTGTCTAGAGCTTTTGTCCTTCATTAGAGTTAAGTTCTGACGTAAATAAAGTTTAAAGAGGCACACATTTCCCAGAAGATTAAAAGAACATTTACTCGGCTTCCTCATAATTTTAGAAGCAAAAATTTTCACAACTCAAAGAAAAACTTTGTAACTGCAGGGAATTAAGGGAAAAAGTTTTTTTTTTTTTTAAAGAGTAACAGTAATATCGACACCACTTGAAGCAAGAAATACGGCATATTATTGATTCAGCAAAGAACTCCCAAGTTAAGCCAACAATGTAAATACACTTGAGAGTCAAATAAATGTCAGCCGTAGGAAGCAATACAACACAAAAAAATCCACTCTCCTGGGGCCAGGGGCTAATTTTTCTGCTGGAAGATTGACTTTAAAAGCCTCAGGTCATTTGAATAAATTATGCAGCTCTTCAGGGCAAGTGCAGCTTGGCTAGCAGAATTAAACAATGGTAAATCACTTTAATTTTTTTCTAGTGAATACCTATTATTTATCACGAGATTACTTAACAGTAAAATTTAAACGACCAGATTAAGAAAAAAAGATGTTCTTGAGAGGACTTTCTCCTCCGCTAGAAGTATGCGGGGTTCGGAAAAAAAATGTTATTTGTCCCTCCCACGCCCACTCAGAAACACAGATGAGGCTTTGAAAGCGAACAAGAATTATTAAACGCAAAAGTCAGGATATAATGCCCTGGTTCTAAAGGTGAGGATTAGAGGTGCGGATCATAGAATAATTAAATGTGTGGGAGCCATCTTTTTCAGTTTAAGTTTTTCGGGGTCATTTTAATTTCCCCCAACCCAGCCACCTGAGTCCCTATCCAGACCAACAGCATTTCCATTTCTCCCAAGTTCTACAAACGTGCACTCACATGCATGCACACACACACACACAGATACCCACATACATCCTAAACACCAATCTTTTTCAATTCACTTACCCATAGGGAAGCCTTACTTTAATTGCCACTGTATTTTTCCAAACCTGGGTATCCCTGAAAGGAGGATAGTTAAGACGATTGCTCATTATTATATGTCTTTCCAGATTCTCTTTGCATCTTTATAGTTTCCAATATGATGAGAACAAGAATATCAGGACGAAAGCAAGTGAAAAAGAGCTAACAATCAGATTATTCATTTTGCAGAAACCAGCCTAAAAATTCAGTAAAATGGCCAATATGAGTGATTATTTGCATCAAATTAACTGTCTGTTTAGGCATCATATAGAGAGTAACTGAGAGGGATATTAAATCAGTTAACAAGGTGGAATCCATGTGATGAAATGAGTAGATGTCTGATTCAGTACATTCCTGAGACCAGTTGTTTCCAGC